AAAAACAAACATGAAGAATTACAGGACACTGCAAGCCAAAACCAGGAGGAGCTAAAACAAACAAACAAAATCCAAGACAATGCAGATAAAACAAATGAGACATTAGAGGTTCTGGAAAAACAAGAAACCACATTCCAGAATTCCTCTGGTCCAATGTTTCAGATGCTGTCAAAATAATGGAGGGACACATGAACAGGGTTGAAGAGATGGAACACAGATGCAGTGAAATAGAAGATAGAATTGTCACCACTTACCTGCTACAACAAAAAGAAAAATCAAAAAGGAAGGAAAAAAGAAAATCTAAGAATAATGTGGGACACCATCAAGAGAAATAACATACATGCACATGATCAGACTCCCAGACAGGAAGAAGCAAGTGAAGGCACCAAAAAGGTTGTGGAAGAATTACTAGAGGAAAGATTCCTAGGCATAATGAAGAATGAGAGAATATATATTCAAGAAGCTGAGTGAACATCATATGGAATAGACCTCATAAGAAAAACACCAAGGCATATCATAGTAAAATATGTCAGAACCAAAGATAAGGAGAGAATTCTGAAAGCAGCAAGGGAGAAACAAAGAGTAACCTATAGGTGAGAGGAAATAAGATTAAGAGCTGATTTCCCAACAGAAACCACGTGAGCAAGAAGACAGTGGAATGACATATATCAAAACACTCAAAGAACACAACTGTCAACCAAGAGTATTATACCCAGTAAAACTGTCCATCAAATATGAAGGAGAGATCAAAATATTCCCAGAAAACAGAACCTAAGGGAGTTCATAAAAAACAAGACTAGTGTTGCAGTAAACACTGAAAGATGTCCTTCCTTTAGAAGTACCACAGAAAACAGGATGGACCACAGTAACTAGCCACAAAACCAAAAAGAGCTCAAGAAAATTGAGATATTGAGAGTGAATCTAACTAGATACACAAAAGACCTATACAAAGAAAGCAACAGAACATTTCTGAAAGTCACAATAAAAGACCTGAGTAAATGGAAAAACATACCCTGTTCAAAAGTAGGAAGATTCAATATTATGAAAATGCCAGTCCCGCCAAAAGCAAGCTACATGTTTAACACAATCTCAATACAGATACCAGTTTATTTTTTCGAGGAGACCGAAGGGAAATTGTTAAGTTTATTTGGAGAGGAAAGAGACCTTGAATAAACAAAGCACTTCTGAAAAACAAAAATGAAGTGGGAGGTATAGCACTCTCTGACCTCAAAACCTACTACACAGCAGTAGTGACTAAAACAGCATGGCAGGCACACAGACCAATGGAATAGAATTGAGAACCCAGAAATGCACCCATCTATCTATGCTCAACTGATACTTGACAAGGAAATAAAACCTATCAAATGGGGAAATGACAATTGCTTCAACAAATGGTGCTAGCAAAACTGGTTTGCTATCTGCACAAAGCTGAAACAGGATCCACATATCACACCATACACATATATCAACTCAAGGTGAATCAGAGACCTGGGAGTAAAGCCTAAAATTATTAAGTTCATCAGAGACGAAATAGGATCAAGGTTAGAAGGCCTAGTTTTAAAAGGCTGCCAAATACAGTCAGAAATGCACAATCTTAAGAGGATAAAATTGATGAATGGGACCTCCTAAAGATTAAATCTTTGTGCTCATCAAACATTTTTCTGAACAGGGTGAAAAGATGGAAGGAATATACAGAGTCACTCTATAAAAGATAATTGGTAGATACTGAATAATTTCAACTAGTGGTATATGATCAAGAACCAATTGTAAAGAAGGAAGAAGTCTAGGCTTTACTGAAAGAATTAGTGAAAAATAAGGCATCAGGAATGGATTGAATATTAATTGAGATGTTTTAGCAAACAGATATAGCCCTGGATGTATTTACCTATCAATGACAAGAAATTTGAAAGGCAGTCAGTTGATAAACTGACTGGAAGAGATCCATACTTGTGCCCATTGATTAAACAAACAAAAAAAAAGTGATTCCATAAAGTACAGAAATTATTCAATATCACCATTAATATCACATGCAAGTAAAATATTGTTGAAGACTATTTTAAAATGGTTGGAACCTGCTAGAAATTCAAGCTCAATTCAGAAGTGGCTATACAACATGGGCTATCTTTACTGATGTCAGAACTTGGTGGAAAGCAGAGAATACTAGAAATCCATTTACTTGTGTTTTATTGACTAGGTGAAGCATTTAATTGAATGGATTATAATAAATTATGGGTAACAGTGAGAAGAATGAGAATTCCAGAATCCTGAATTATGTTCATGCAAAACCTGCACAGAATCCAAGAAGCAGTTGTTTGAACAAACCAAGGGTACACTGTTGTTGTGTTGTTGTGTACCATCAAGTCGCTTGCAACTCATAGCAACCCTATGTCAAACAGCCTTATGCCCAGCTTTATCCTAAGCCAACCTCACTGTCTCCAATAAACCTAACCCCATTACTCCAGGTACTGAGTCAATCCATCTCATTGAGTGTCTTCCCCTTCTGTGCTGTCCCTCAACCCTCCCAGGCATAGTGTTCCTCTCAAAGGACTGGTCCCTCCTTGCAACATACCCAAAGTATGTCAGACAGAGTTTCAGGACCCTTGCCTGCAAGGATCAGCCTGGTTTCACCCTCTATAGGATAAAACTATTTGTTCTCTTAACAGTTTACAGTATAGTCAATACTATTCTCCAGCACCACAGCTCAAAGACATCAATTCTCCTTCTATCATCCCCAGTCACTGTCCAGTTTTCTGATACATAGCACATAACTGTAAAGACCATGGTCTGAATCAGGCACACCTTAGTCTTCAGACTGATATAATTGCCCTTCAGTACTCTGGAGAGGTCCCTGAAATCAGACTTTCCCAATGCAATTCATCTTTTTATGTCCTGGCTGGGCTGCTGGTACCAAGAGTGTTGATTGTGGAGCCAAGCAAACTAAAGCTGTTAACAATCTCGATCTCCTCACCATCCGTCATGGTACTGCCAATCAGCTCAGTGGTGAGAAACATTGTTTTCTTGATGTTGAGCTTCAACCCATATTGAAGACTTCAGTCCTTTACCCTCTGCAGCAAATGCTTCAGGTCTTCTTCAGTTTCAGCAAACAAAGTTGTATCATTTGCATACTGCAGGTTATTGATGAGTCTTCCTCCAATCCTGATGCCACATTCTTCCTCATAGAACCCAACCTCCCAAATGAACTGTTTCACATATAGGTTGAAAAGGTATGGAGATAGGACACATCCTTGCAATATTAAAGGCTACAGCTCCAGCCTTTAATATTGCACTCCTTTCCTAATTTTGAATCATGCAGTGTTTCCTTGCTCTGTTCTGAGAACTGCTTCCTGGTCCAAGTATAGGTTTCGCATAACCACAATTAAGTGTTCTGAGATGCCCATTCTTCTCAAAGTTAGCCACAGTTTATGGTGATCCACCCAGTCAAATGCCTTTGAATAGTCAATGAAACAGAGATAGACATTCCTCTGACACTCTGCTTTTTAGCTAAGATCCATTTAACATTAGCTATAATATCCCTAGTACCACGGCTTCTTCTAAGCCCAAACTGCGTGTCTCGCATTTCTCTGTTGATATGTTGCTCCAGTTGTTTTTGGCTAATCTTCAGCAGAATCTTGCTTGCATGTGATATTAATGATATTGTTCGATAATTTCCACACTCTTTCGGGTCACCTTTCTTTGGAATGGAGACAAATATAGATCTCTTCTAGTCAGATGGCCAGGTGGTTATCCTCCATATTTCTTGGCACAATTTGGTGAGCACATCCAGGGCAGCATCTGTTTGTTGAGATATGTCAATTGGTATATCATCTATTCCTGGTGCCTTGTTTTTTGCCAATTCCTTATACTACACAGTTTAAAATCAGGAAAGGGTTATGCCAGAGTTGCATCCTTTCTCTACACCTATTCAAACTGTATGCTGAGCAGACACTATGAAGAAGAATGTAGTGTTAGGATCTGAAGAAGATTCATCAACAATTTGCTTTATGCAGATGATATGAACTAGCTTGCAAAAAATGAAGAAGACCTGAAGCACTTACTGCATAGCATCAAAGACTACATCCTTCAATATTGATTACATCTCAATGTTAAGAAAACAAAAATCCCCCCTACTAGACCAATAGCCAACATCATGGTGGATGGAGAAAAGATGACGTTATCAATTGACTTTACTTCTTCCACAATCAACACCGATAAAAGGTATGGTCAAGAAATCAAATCATATACGGCATAGGGGAAAGACCTCTTTCAAATGCGAAAGAGCAAGGATATCAATTTAAAGGTAAGATGTGCCTGTTTCAAGCCATGCATTTTCTGTTTCTTAGTATGCACTTTTAAGTTGGACAATTAATAAGTAAGACTGAAGAAGAACTGATGCCTTTGAATTGTAATGATGGTGAAAAGTATTGAAAAGCCATGGACTACAGAAAGGACAAGTAACTCTGTCTTTGCAGATGTGATGCCAGTGAGCTACTAGGAGGCAAGGTTGGTGAGACTTCATCATATAGGCTAGGCCTGTTGTCAGGAAGGGGAGCTCAGCTTCTGGAAAAGGCCACTAGGAGTGGAAAGGCGGAGGTAAGCGAAGGAGAGGAAGAACCCCAAGGAAAGGGATTGACACAGTGACTGCAGCAATGAGCACAACAGAGACTGTAAAGATGATGGGAGTTGAGCAAGGCTTTGATCTGTCCTATATAGGGTCACTGTGAGTCAGAGTTAACTCATGACACCTAGTAACAGTAACAATGTATCCCAACAATCAGGAAAAGCTTTACAATATAGATGGGTTGTTACTCACTAAGGGAGGGGAAGAAACCCCACTCTATGTATCTAAAAATATTTACAGACTCTTCAAGAAGTAGTCACAGCAGTAGATGTACCCACACAACTGAATCACTGCCAAAGAGTCACAGAGAACACATGGGATTGTTCCATATTCTCCTACAGGTCTCTGTAACCACGTCCTTATTTACTATCCACTGTCTTACGTGAGCATTTCTTTATAGTTGTCCACTTCCGCCATGGCCTTCTGAAGTTTTAGCCCAAGTGCCTCTATGTGACTTTGCAAATCTGAAATGACACAATGCATTAAACGGATGAGTAAATTTATATCATCCAGATATTTCTATACCAAAATCCAAGCCCTTTGTTGTTGATTCTGACTCTTGAGGATGTGTTAAAGACTAAAATGATTTATTTCACGGCTTTCTTGACTATAGTCTTGGTGGAAGTAGATGGTCAGCCTTTTCTTCCATGGTTACCCATGGGTGTGTTCAAACTGCAATAAAGCACATTCTAGAGCCGTTAATCAGCTCTTGACGAATCTGATCAGTGAGCTCATCAGCTGTTCAGTGCTCTTTGTGTTGCTTGTTGCTGCAAAGTGCCATTAAGTCAGAATTGATGCATAGCTGACACTACTCAGAGACGCTGTTTTCAGAGGCAGTAAATTGCACAGGAGACTACCCATCATTTTTCCATGGAGTGGCTGGTGGATTCAAACTGCCTGCCTTTCAGTTGGCAATGCAACTCCTTACCACTGGGCCACCAGAACTCATGCTTATGTTGATATACTATGGAATTATTTTGACCTGACAAAACCAATTTTTTGCCTCTTCCTGTCCCTATCATCAAGATAATTTTCAAACAGTTTCGTAATGTCTTCACAGAAAATTTGTGTAGTCTACAAGAATGTGTTTCTGATCACGTGCTCACTTCTGAAAAGCTTGCTGGCCTGGGCCTTCTCCTGCCAACCGGACAGAGAAGCATTACTGATGCCTTCCGAGAGAATGAAGAAAGCAAGCCATTGAGTTAAGGAAGGCTGCTAGAACATTCCTTAATCCTGGGTACCATCTACAAGTTGTTTTAGTGACGTTTAAAGTCAAAGAAATAAAAGCAAGAAATTGTCTCCTGGAGTCTTAAAGTGAGGAATTCAGCAGTATCTGAGAAAGATTGTTCAAGCAGCCGTGTGTGTGCATGTGTGTGCACACACACATGTGCGCGTGCGTACACACACACACACACACACACACACACACACACACAGCTGAAGCAGAAGGAGAAAGGGCACATGATTGGAGCATATGATTGAAGTCCTGACTTTCGTCCTAATGAGAACCTTCACAGATACTCTTTGGGAGCATGGGAACACGGAACATGGAGACAAGCTTACATCAATGGACTAGCTGGCTTCTACAGAATATAGTTTAAAACACTGGAATGATGTAATTCCTGTGTTACATCAACTGAGGACTTTTAAGAGTCTTATTTTAATGGAAAATATTAAAATCTTCATGCATCTAGGCAACTGTAGATACATAAAGTTCTAAACACATCTTCCATCAGCCAGTTCAACAAATCAGAAAACAAATTCCTTCTAAGCATTTTAATGGGTACTTACCAGATATTAGTATGTTGTTTCTGTTATGTGCTGTTAAACTTGAACCAATTCATAGCTGCCCCTTCAGCTAGTTTCCGGTTAGAAATCACACAGGCAGAGAGAGCCTGTGTTTCTCTTGCAGAGCAGCTGGTTCGTTCAAACTGCCTGCCTCTGGGTTGTCCGTGCAATTTTGCCATCAGAGCTCCAGCACCAGTATAAATCTTTGTTTATCCACTATTTTCACATTGTTGTTGTTGTTAGGTGTGCCGTTGAGTCATACATGACTCATAACAACGCTATGAACGAAAGACCTGAGCACTGTTCACAGAATTCCAGGAGGCAAGCCATTTCAGAAGTGGATGCCCCTCCTGCTCCCAAGCTTGTTTTCATCAGGAAGCTCCACTAAACACTGTCCACCATGGGTAACCATTATCACATTTGGCACATCAGTGTCACAGTGTTTAGCTTCACAGCAACCACGAGTTACTTCTGTACAGACCTGTGCTATGTCACTTAGAAGAATGTTTCACAAAAAACAATTTGAACCATCAGACACAGGCTCAAGAAAGCACACGACCCCAAAAACTTGAGATTACTTGCGCATGTGGAACCGCCATGCACAGGCAGCAAGGAGCCACAGAGACCCTGGGTGGAGCCATCCAGGACGAACCTTGCTGCCTTCTTCTCCCCTTTCCCTTTGAGGATTTAAGTCACCGCCTGCCTTAAACCCTAGGTCCAGTCTCCAGGGCCTTACTCCTGGGGAAAGAGCAGTACTGTACATCAAACCCAAGCCCAAAAAAGAACAAGACCCCACATTTTCACATACATTATTTAATTTCATCTCTCTTTCTGCCACGTAGATGCTGAAGGATATCTTCTTGATGTTCCTGTAAGGTCTCACCCACTCTCTCACAGTCAATACATGTATTTGCCAGATGGACAGAAGACTGCAAACTCCATCAGGAAAATGAGTGTCAATGGATGACTCCATACAAGGAGGTATCATAGGGACATAACAGGAAATATTTGTATTCCATACCTTTTCCACTGATCAGGGTTATATGAGGAAAAAACAAAAATAACATGCTTTGAGCACAACTCTGGCAAGCAAAGAACTCTCTCCTGAACATTCCATAATCTGTCATTCTATTATTAAGCTCATGAGGGCTTGTTAAGAGGTGTGGTTCACAGAAGCACAACTGGAACTCTGAGTGTCTGGGTGTGAAGAATAATGTTAAGAGAGTTGATGCTTGCCAATGGTGCACCATAGCCAGACACTGTGAGGCGTGCTTTCTCCTTTTTCATTTCACTCAGGACTCACAGTCAACATGAAAAACAGATAAACCTTTTATTTCTGTGGGTGACGAATCTGAGAATTGAATCATTAGCGTACTAAAGGCCACACATCTAATTAGAAGTGATGCTATAATTCACACCAAGTTCTGCCCGATTCCAGAGTCCTATCTCTCCACTATCTTGTATTGAATCCTGAAATGTAAATCTGCAAAGGGTATGATATTTGCCTGTAAGAATATGTTTAGCATAGTTTCAGATCTAAGCATCTTTAAAGAGGTATATTTAGATGAAAAGTACTGGTTTAAAAAAATTTGTAGTACATGAGTAGGATTTCTAACTTCAAAGGGTAGGTTTAGGTTTCAATTTATCCATTATAACTAATGAAAAAAGAAAGATGAATCTATTATCACAGTGACTGGTTTCATGAGGCTGATATAAGGAAGAACAATTACACCTTCCTATTAAAGAACTGAAGCTGTCAATGATTTCACCTAGCTTGAATCAACAATCACCACCCTTAGTTAGCACCAGCAGTCAGAAGATCAGGAGACGTATTGCACTGAGCAAGTTCACTGTCAGGGACCTCTCCAAAATACTTAAGAGCAATGATGTCACCTTGAAGCATATGGTGCACCTGATTCAGGCCATGGTCTTATGAGTCACCTGCAATGCATCTGGGAGCTAGACAATCAACAAGGATGACAGAAGAATAATTGAGGCCTTTGAAATGTGGTGCTGGAGAAGAGCACTGAATATCTGATGGACTGCCAAAAGAATAAAAGGTATGTCTTGAAAAAAGTGTAGACAGTGTACTCCTTGGAGGCCAAGATGATGATGATGCGTAATCTCTCATCCTTTGGGCATGTTGCTAGGAGAGGCTATTACTTGGAAAGGGACTACATACTTTTTAAGTTGGAGAGTCGGGGAAAAAAGGCAAAGACCCCCAATGAGATGGATTGACACTGTGACTGTAGCAACGGACTCTAGTGTGTCAAGAGATGATGAGGATGGCACAAGATAGGATCCGATCTGTTGTTCATAGGGTACCTATGAGTCGTATTCGACAACAGCATTAAGTTTCCACTGGTGTTTCTGTCAGGGTATAATCCTAAACTAGCTGACATATAGATCTGAGTCTTTGTGAGAACATTTGACATTTTAACTTTTAAATGCAGCTATAGTTAAAAGGAAGAATTATCTAAAAATATATGCCAAAGAATTGGTACTTGATATGTGAATGCTATGCAACTGTAAATTACCTAAAAATTAGTATAATAATCAACCACATTCATGGCAACAAATCCATAGCCCACTTCTGTACCATTGATAAATATTCTAATGTTTTTTTTTCTTTTTTTTCTATAATTATATTTTATTAATTTTCATAAACATTTACAGAGATTTTGGGCTTCCACTCATTCATTGTTGCACTATTCTCTCTACCCTCCTCCCAGTTTGTTCTTGTCCAAATGCCACAGTGCTTGTCAAAGCCAGTTCTGATTAATCTTCTTTGTCAGTGTATCCTTTGCCATTCCCTATCACTCCTCCCTGAGAGAGACTTCACCCTGAGTCATAAGGAAAAGGGGACGGCGTATTCTCTTAGCTACTTCCTGCTGAAAAGGGACGCTGTGGGTTTCAGGGTGAAGATCTTCTCTCACTACTCTAAAGGGCCCCTTTGGCAGTAGGAAACACATAGACTATTATGGAGATTGATTTTGGAATTCAGATGCACTCTTATTGATTGTGCTTGGCTGTACATGTACATATCCTTCAAGATGTATCATGGGGGTGTTGCAACCTAGAAGACACAAATTTGACTAACAAGTTATAAGTACATGAGTCCAAAAATTATGGAAAAGTAAAAGAAAAGATTCTTTCATTGTTTTACAAACCCTCCCCCAGGTCCCCTCCACCATGCAGCCCTCGCTCTAGTCTCCTGTGATGACAGAAATACCCAGTTACATCTCTCTTTTAGACGGTTCTCTCCCTCCTCTGCTTCAGTGCAGTATACATTATTGAACCCATCTTACTCAGTGTCTCCCTAACCCCAAGGACAGTCCCATTCTACAATAGTGGCATCATGTAATATTTGTCCTTTTGTGACTGGGATATTTCACTCAGCATAATGTTCTCCAGAGTCAACCATTTTGAATAATATTGCATGAGTTCCTTGTTTTTCAATGCAGCATAGTATTCCATTGTGCGAATATACCACAGCTTCTCTAGCCATTCGTTTGTTGATGGGCACTTAGGTTGTTTCCAACTCCTTGCTATTGTGAACAAAGTCTAATGTTTACATTTGAATAGATTTGTGCAGTTCTAGACTCTAGAATTTACTAGGCTTAAAAGTAAGTAAGGTCCTTCTCAAGAAGAATGTAAAAGCTATTTGTCACCTTCC